TGAAGAGAAGGATAGTTTGAAGGGCATGGAGGATTTTCCAACAACCTTGAGGAATTGATTACCGAAGATCAAGGAGAGGTTGCTATCATTTTGAATGTCGCCCCTGATGGAAAAGTTGAGATTGAAGAATTCTGCCTTCCGAGGGAAGCAGATAAATCCAAATCAAAGAAGAAACCCGTATTCAGTAACGAGGAAGTGATAGAGACTTATCTATCAGCCTCCGTAATGGGCGTCTCTCATGACAAACCAGCTGAATACACCTTGAAGAGTTACCTGTCGAAGATTTATAGTACGGAAGGAACGAAAGTTTCGACAGACACGGGTCCACCGACCGAACGGGAGCAGCTAGCTGAAGCAGTCTGTCTCCAAGTACCAGAGCACAAGAAAGATCCCACTGTACTGCTGTTTGACCTAACCCGTCCGGCGGAAGCTCGACCAGTGGACGAAACGACAGAAGGAAAAGTGTCTGAGTGGGAATCTAAAGCCCCTCTGCACTCTCCCTCGTATATCTGCTCGCATCCGATGTGTACCTGTGCAATTAGCAATACTGTTTTGCTAAACAGCCTGGTAGATGCAGAGGTAGATCTTTCGACGGAAGGACAAGGATTCATTCCGACGGCAGTGTTTGGCTCTAAGAAGTATAAACCTGTCGCTTTGAAAGTCAAACCGGTCCTTGCTTCCCTACCAGAGAAGTTTCGTATTGTGAGAGATATCAAAGGGGATCCTTTAGCGGAGATGCCTAGGTTATCCACTCAACCCCCAGAATTTACACCGACTGGAAGGTATACTCAAGAAAGAAAAGAAATTATAGACAAGGTACATGAAGGAGACTTCTTGTGGCCTGAGGAGCGTAAACTTATGCATCACTTCATGATGGAACAAGAACAGGGTTTCGCCTGGAACGACGAGGAAAGAGGACACTTCAAGGAGGAATACTTTCCGCCGGTAGAAATGCCAGTGATACCTCATACTCCTTGGGTACTAAAGAATATACCCATTCCGCCGGCACTCTACCCTGAAGTATGTAAGATAATACAGACGAAAATCAACGCTGGTGTATATGAGCCTTCGAACTCGTCATATCGCTCTCGTTGGTTTACAGTCGTAAAGAAAGATGGAAAAAGCTTGAGACTAGTTCACAGCCTGGAACCCCTCAATGCAGTGACTATTGCTCACTCAGGGATTCCGCCGGCCACAGATGAGCTTGCAGCGCATTTCGCCGGAAGAGCTTGTGGAGGTGTGTTAGATTTGTATGTGGGATACGACGAAAGGCTTTTGGCTGAATCCAGTCGTGACTATACTACCTTTCAAACCCCTTTTGGAGCTCTAAGACTAGTAACCCTTCCCATGGGATGGACTAACTCAGTACCCATCTTCCACGACGATGTAACTTACATTCTCAAAGACGAAATACCTCACACTACCGTCCCTTACATAGACGATGTGGCGATTAGGGGTCCGAAGACAAGGTACGAACGTCCCGACGGAAGTTACGAAACAATACCCGGGAACCCTGGTATTAGGCGTTTCGTGTGGGAACATTTCGAAAACCTAAACAGAGTGGTCCAAAGAATGAAATATGCAGGTGGAACGTTCTCACTACTAGCCACCCATTCTTTCTTGTGCAAAAAACATAAATATAAATCATCTCTTCCTTATTTCAAATCAAAGGAATTTTTCGCACATAAAAAGTTTGAAGTATTGTCAATAAAAATATATTAATTTTATTTCATAAAGGTGTTCAACCTTGCGCAAGAAACTTAAAAGGAAATGATTCATTGTTTGTCACAAAAAGAACAAATTTTTTCAGAAAAATACAATGACTATTCAGTGCAAAAAAGATTGAATAATTCTTTCCCTTTGTTATCCAAAATCTTTTGTCTTTCTCATTCCAGAAACAAAACGGGCGACTATCGCCCGCTACTCGCCCCCTTCACGCTCGCTCATCGCACAATCATCTCCCGATGATCTCCGCTGTTCGTGCACTGAATCGTATTCGGGTAAGAGTGGGCGAAACAAAAAACTATTCGGGACTTATGCAAGATGTCTCGTTCAGTTCGCTTCTCATCTACTGCAAAACCTCGAAAGCCGCTAAACCCAAAAACTACGAAAGACCAATCCTTCTCGCCTCTAATCTGCCGCTTGGCCCCCTTCAAAACGTCAGGTTACGTATCACTTTAGGAGGATATCGATTAGGTATTAACGGAAACCGCATTGCCATAAAATGAACGAAATGAGACAGCAAGGCACCGTAATTTTAATCCGAACCCGTGAAAAACTTCATCAATCTTGCCATCCAGGCCTTTTCCTTCGCGTTTCTCGATGTAACTATACCACCAACTCTTTGATTCGCACCGCGGAATTCAGAAACTTAGACACGGGTGCTGGATTCTATTTCACTCGACATAATGATTCTACGTAGGATCTCTAAGTTTACCTACTTCACTTCTATGTTAATACGATCCCTTTTGCAGGTCCCTTGCCCTTACAACTACTCATTTGACCGTACAGACATCGCGAGGCGAGTCCACCATTCCGCAGACAACCGATCTAACGTTTAATGGAAGAGAGAGCAAAATCATTGTGACTGACTATGTCTTCGGGGCTAGTGCCGCGACCATCCTATGTTCGACCGCTGAGTGAGTTCATGCACTTTCAGGATACCATTTTACTAAACTAACTCTGTAGGATAATGACCGGACCACGTTAACCCATTGCTTATAAGAAGCTCCCAGCGCTGTATCTGTGTTCATTTTCAATAGGATTAAAGATACTGAGTATATTCTATCCTTTACGTTCCTGCCAGCCAAACAGGCGAAAGGTGTTTTTATCAGACGAAGAACCCGCATTCGACTTGTCGGATGGATCAGACGCATCGTCGACCTTTTCGAATGGACTCTGATGCTAAATTACACGTTAGAGGGTTCCCCCTTCGTTTCAATCCAGATCAACGGGAAACCCATCACTGTGATCCTGATGGACAAAGGCGTCGCGAATGAATGGCATGCTACGGTCATCAGTGCGGAGGGCACGTTTGGAAGCTACTTCTCGGTCGGTACTAATGAGACGTATGTTCTAGTTGTCTCAAAAAGATTGATGAACTAATGATCTTTTTAGTGTTCTGGTTAGTAGACCCTACGTCCTACGTTCCGCGGAGCTGACTGGGGACACTCTTGCACTGGTAGGTTATATCCTCTAACTCTAGGGGGGTTCCTAGTATGAAACTCTGAACAGGTCATGGATTTGAAGGGAACGACACCAGTAGAGTTCATTGCATCATCTGGAATCTCATAATGGACATGGAACGGAGCCCCTGTAGAACTCGCGCCCGGCTCTCGTGGATCGTGTACTGGTACTCTAGAGGCATCGTCTCTGAGTATCACTTTGCCCTCGTTGGGTGATTGGAAAGTCATGGGAAGGTACGATCGCGTCGAAAAGTTTTCAGGCGTTTCTTTTCCGGTTTTGACATGAGAGAAGTTTGTCAGAAGTGGATAATGACTTCGTCTGTTGTACACGCATTCACGATATTGACTCTTAACAGTAGACGAATCTTTCACTCATGGCGGGAACACAAGTCTTGTATTTGCAACAGTATGGGTATGTCAGACAGATGTATCTCATTCGTATGGATCTCATCTTACCTTTGTCTTTCAAGCTTCTATGGCGGGAAACTCATACTTTGAGGACGTTTCAATGCAACAGGTGATGAAACAAGTGTAAACTTGACTGTTCAGTATGGTATTGGTGGTGGTCATAGTGCTTTTTTGAACGGGTTGTTCTTCGTGCGCTGAATAGCTCTGTTATTCGGGTAAGAGTGGGCGGAACAAAAAACTATTCGGGACTTATGCAAGATGTCTCGCTGAGACTCACTCACAAGTACTTAGTGACACTTCACCTATCAACACAATATCAATCTACAACGGGCATGCACGTAAAAGCAAATGGCAGGAAGTTATATGTATAAACGGCCCAAAAAAAGGAAAGACTCTACAGCCAAAGACAAGGGAAAGGGGAAAAACTCCGAAGTGGTTAGTTCTCGAACACCTGTGCTTGAGAACGAACGAGGTATGTGGTAAGGCAGATGTCTGTGTAGGGAATACCATACATGTTTAATGAAGCGGACATAATCAGATACAGAATTTTAAGAGAACATAGCCTTATAGTACATTCAAGAAAACAAAAAATAAATCAGACTTTAATCTGCCAACGAGATGTTTCAATATTGGGTCAGTGGGTATATAGTTTAAGGATGTATTTACCTTCAGCCCAACACCAAGAACGCGATACGTCTCGGGCAGAACACTGCGCAAATATTCAATACTCATATCTATGCTTGAATCGGGATGAACGAATTTTATTTCAACGTTCCGAAGCGAACAGCCGGATTGTCTTTGTGCAAGAGTAGACAAAAGCGCGTCCACTCGACTGGATAATCTTCTCGATGTCTGGGTGATATGAAATGTGATACAAAGGGACTCCAGCGGAACGACCAAGCTGTTGACTAATGACTGCAGGACAGCTTCAGCTACTGTAGCGGAAGGAAAGGGGATGTCGACGGAGAACTCCTTCAAGCGTTTCAATGCTTTCCATTGAACACGCGACATGGCTCCAAGGATACCTTCAAAACAATAAGTTGAAAAGCGCTAGCCTCGTGAGGTAGAGTGATTCTCACCTTTATCAGCAACTGTGAGTTTCCTAAGTTTCTTTCCGTACATATTGATCATGTCGATGTACTGCTCGAGTGCGAACGTCGGGAGGGAAAGAATGTGTAGGGTTCTCATCCCGCGAATATGAAAAAGCTGACATAAATTACGCAAGCCCTCGGTTCTGGATATAAAGACGCTAAGATGTGTGAAATATACCACTGATACCGTATGAGCGGAGCGTTCTGGGAGTATTCGACAGTCGACGAGCTTGATGACCTT